CAGTGGTTGCTTGAATTAAGACGGTGGTCATATTACTGAAGGAGAATGACAAATTGGAGCAATATTCAGGAGGCAAAATAGATCGCCCTTGACACTGAGTTTGATTTTAGAGGGTGAAGTGTTCATAGTGATTCTAAGATTTTTGGCTTGTGTGTTGGGTGGAAGATAGTGCCATTCACAAACGTAGTGAAAACTAGAGGAGAACCAGGTGTGAGGGAAGATTTATAGTTTCTGGAAAACAAGCACTTTTGGGGTAACTTTAAGGCACAAAAGTAAAATCATGGAGCTGGCACTTGAAGTATGCATTTTGAACTTTTTCTGCTGTATTTAATGGAGACAGAAGCTGGAATGCCATGGGTAGATGTTAACAAAGGAGGGGAGAGGGAAGAGCAGGAATCACAGAGACAGATCGCTATGTTTAGTCCCTAAGAAAGGCAAGAGATGCGCTTTACATGGCTCTGTACTAGTAAAGCAGGAAGAATTCTGGGAGAAGGTAGGTATCAAAGTCCTCCTTGATATATCCTCCTTAGATCCCTTTGGGTATTTTGCCATTCTCAGGGTAACCCGAACCAGTGTGTCACAGAACAAACTGAAGCCGAAGTTCTTCTGATTCCCAGATTCTCTAATTGTTGCTTTCCCCTATCCTTAACTCCTAACGTGTACACAGATTGTGTTATGTAGATGTGGCCTCAGAAAATTATATTTATATATATGTATTACTATTAGGTGCCATCAGGTCAATTCCAACACATAGCAACCCTATATACAACAGAAGGAAACACTGCCTGGTCCTGCACCATCCTTACAATCTTTGCTGTTTGAGCCCATTTTGCAGCCACTGTGTCAATCCATCTCTTTGAGGATCTTCCTCTTTTTCCCTGACCCTCTACTTTACAAAGCATGATGTCCTTCTCCAGGGACTGGTCCCTCCTGATAACATGTCCAAGAACTTGAGACAAAGTCTTGCCATCCTCACTTCTAAGGAACATTCTGGCTGTGCTTCTTCTAAGATAGATTTGTTCCTTTTTCTGGCAATCGATGGTATATTCAATATTCTTCACCAATGCCATAGTTCAAATTCATTAATTCTTCTTTGGTCTTCCTTATTCATGTACAGCTTTAGCATGTATATGAGGCAGCTGAAAAAACCATAGCTTGGGTCAGGTGCACCTTAGTCCTCAAAGTGACATCTTTGCTTTTTAACACTTTAAAGAGGTCTTTTATAGCAGATTTGCCCAATGTCACACATCCTTGTATTTCCTAACTGCTGCTTCCTTGGGCATTGATTGTGGATCCAAGTAATATGAAATCCTTGACAACTCCAATCTTTTCTCCATTTATTATGATGTTGCTTATTGGTCCAGTTGTGAGGATTTTTGTTTTCTTTATGTTGAGGTG